TACATTATTGTAAGGGTGAAGCAAAAACATCCATTGAGGGTTGTATTATGTTGGAAGCCCCTTCTGGTTACAAGAAGGCCAAAGAGATTCTAAAACGGTTATTCGGACAGGCGCATGTAATCGCTCGAGAGACACTAGAAGACTTATTCAATGCCGTGAATTTTGATTATACTGACGGAGAGCAACTAACAAACTTGGCTATTAAAATGGAAAACTGTGCTATGATCTTGGAACAGATGAATTATGTCTCTGATCTAAATTCCTTAGTTACTTTGGAAAGAATAGTGAGACTCTTGCCTCAGACTATGCAAACCCAGTGGGCGGACTGGGTGGAAGAATTGACTGAAGATAACAGGGAACCGACCTTTGGCGAGCTCACTCAGTTTATCGCATCGCGTGCGAGAGTGGCTTGTAGTAGATTTGGACGGTTAGCAAATCGTTCAAGAAAAGGACATAACGTAAAGAAGAACTGTCACGTGCAATCGGAGCAAGGGAATAGTTCGACAACGAAAACTAAATGCAGTATGTGTTCCTACGACCATGCTATTGATAAATGTCCCCAGTTCTTAGCGCTTACAGTTCAAGACCGATGGTCTCACGCTAAAAGCAAGGGTATCTGTTTCGTCTGTCTTAGACAAGGACATAGAGTTAATGAATGTAAGCTGACAAAGCGTTGTAACGTTAATGGTTGTGAAAAGAAACACCATTCTTTGTTGCACAGCGAAAGTGATAAACCTGGCATCTCGATTTGCTGCGGATATACTAAATCACTAATCAGTCAAGTGTGTTTAGGCATGATTCCCGTACGGTTGAAATCGCGAAAAGCCGAGATTGTGGGTTATGCTCTCTTGGACAACGGTTCTGGTGTGACACTGATAAAATCAAACTGTTTGAGGTCCCTCGGGCTGAGCGAAGACGAAGCATCAGTGGTAGTTGAGGCTGTGGGCGGTAATAGAACAATGAAGGTCACGAGTGCGCCTTTTAAGGTATATTCTTTAGATCGATCTGAACATGTTACGATTGAAGGAGCTCTGATTGTAGCAAGTATACCAGGTCATAAGCCAACAAAGTCAGCAATGAACAACCTAGTTAAGTGGCCGCATTTAAGTGATGTGCCAATAGATAGCCTAGACTCTGAAGAAGTTTTACTGTTGATTGGTTGCGACGTACCAGAAGCACATTGGGTGTTAGACCAACGGTTGGGTGGAAGGAAGAACCCGTGCGCTGTGAAAACGTTGCTCGGGTGGACTGTTTTCGGACCTGCGTCATGCCCGGAATATAGGAGAAGTGTTGTTAACCATACCAGTAAGGTACAGACATTAGAGAACGAAATACGTGAGCTTTATGATGTAGAGTTTTCAGATGCTTATTCAAGTGATAAATCATTATCGGTAGACGACAAGGTGGCTATAAAGATTGTGGAAAGTGGTACGCGCTTCGACAACGGTCATTTTGTAGTTTCTATACCGTGGAAAAAGAACCCAGATATGAAAGTGGATAATTATGAAGTAGCAAACCGTAGATTACAAAGTTTGAAGGGTATGTTGTCGAAGGATGTCAGTCTGCACATCAGGTATATCAACAGTATTGAGAGTAAATTTACTAAGACTTATGCGGAGAGGGTCCTTGAAATATATTTGCAGCCTAATTATCGCCCTCGAGGGTGTAAAATTATGGTCTACTATGATATTAGTACTGCTCTAATAATAGACCTAACCCTAAATTTGTCATGATATAACTGCCTAATCTATAAGATCTTACGTGGAAGTCACAACATCGACTACACCAACTCACTGTATCGTATCAATTACCAATACATGATGTAGAACAAGGTTAGGCTAGAGAAAGAACAATATATTTAATATGAATAAAAGATATAAGGTAACATTCAGCAGAGACCACGCCTGCATGGCCAAGCCATGCCACTCGATCAACTCCAGTACCTTCAACTCATTGTTCGCGCCTTCTCCATTGTTAGGTATTTATCCGCGTTAAATATTGAATATCTATTTTCCGAGTTGTCTCGTGTTCAGCTTTGTGGATTGTGCGGTTATTGTTCAATGCCACTACAAGGGTATTCACCTCATCATGCAGTGTTAAACATGAAGAAACCAGAAGAACTTAGAGTGGTCCTTGATTGCGCCGCCGAGTTTGCAGGGGTTTCCATGAATGATATGATTTATCAAGAACCCGATACCACTGCTGAGTTAATGTGCATATTATTAAGTTTTCGCAAGGAGACAGTTGCAATCCCTGAAGATGTTGAAGAAATGTTCATGAAGGTGAAGGTCCCTGAGTCTGATCGAGGAGCTTCAAGATTTCTGTGGTGGCAGGAGGGGGACATGTCAAGGGAACCATCTGAGTTTCAAATGACAACTCATGCATTTGGTGCCACATCATCGCCGTTTCGTGCGAACTTTGCCCTCAATATGACCGCACAAATATTCTCTGACGATAGTGAGTTTAGAAAAACTGCTGTGGTTAACTTGAGTAGTATAAAGTACAACATGTAACCTATTCTCTCTTATTACTCCGAGTGGTTGAAATTAGTCAGGTCCGTAGCCTGGCTTAGAAGGTTCATAGAATTCCTGATGGTACTTCGTTCCCCGAGTCATGAAGGATCCGTTCATCTGGGATGTCTAAAGGTCAAAGAGCTTGTCATCGCCAAGCGTAAAATTTTATTGATGGTTCAGAAAGAAGTGTATGGAGAAATACTTAGTGGATTTAAAAACAATGGTAAAGTAGTTAGTCACAATGATCTGAAGGGCTTATCACCGATAATGCTTGATTGGTTACTCTGCGGTGGAGGTCGACTAAGATACTCAGATTTCCCAAATGCTTTTAAACATCCAGTAATTTTACCCAGTCGACACTTAGTGACGGAAATGATAATCAGACATTGTCCTAAAGAACAAGGACACATAGGAAGATCATTAGAAAAAGGGTATGGATATGTGTTTACTTGTTTGCAAACATGGGCAGTACATATTGAAATGATGTGTAGTTTGATTACTGATTCATTTATAATGGCCTTATTATGTTGTATTGGAAGAAGAAGGAGACCTCCGGAGATTTACAGTGACAGCGCGTCAAGCTTCGTGGGGGCATTTTCTGAGTTAAGGAAGTTTGTGCATCAGTCGAATCAGCAGAAGATAAATAGTGAATTGTCAGCGAGGCCCTCATCCAACAGCATGGGTGGAGTTTGGGGAAGAGTGATTAGGTCTATACCACAAGTGTTATTGTTGAACACCAGAGAACAAGTGAAGCAGGTCTCCTTGAATCTTCGGATTAGTCTTTGTTGTTATTAATGTAGTTAGGTCGAGTAGGCGTACTGTTGTAAGTCCTACTCGTTCCTATGGTGTCATATGCTATATAATGAACCATGACCATAGGCATCAAGGTAGCTTGTGTGATATGGAGGGATTTTGGGGACCGGTGTAAGATCCATCTTGAATGCTTTGTGTGTTTGTGAAAATCCCTCCATGTATATACTTGCACTTTGTTCCTATTGATCCTCTTAGTTGTACATTGTTAACTTTTTGGCTACATTTGAATTGTTAATATTTGTATTTTATTATAGTTTTCGTTTTTACTACACCTTCACTAATTCCCCATGTTTCTTCTCGAACTGCACTTATGTTGTTTTACTTTATACTAAGTCTGGGCGGCAGCCATTTTGGTTTGTTCCTGCTTTTGATTGCTTGACCTGTGTTGACTGGAATTGTGCATTTTGGTTGTGAATTGAAGCACTCTTCCAGAATTTAAAACACTCTGTGTTATAGAACGACCAATTATTACCTTTTGAACGAATCTGTACGTGATCTATCCAGACAGGATAGAATAATAGTTATTTGTGGTGATTGGTAATTTTCTTGCATCCTGTATCAACTTTCTTATTTATTGTAGTTTAGATTTGATCAATTGGACAATTATTGGTTGGTTAGCTGAGTGGTTATATTTGTTTAGGTAATAATGTACACTTAAATTTATGATAAATTATAGAACCGTCATCTTACCCAATTACTTTGTTTTGGTTTCAATCGGGCGAGGGCGCGTATCTAACTCATCCAGACAGCTGTCCTTCACTCCAAACCGTAGTTTGGATCTTACAATAACATCGCTGTTCAAAAAGACAATTTAGGAGGTTTATTAGTATATTCTTTCCGTTGTAAATAATCATAATATCACTAACTTTGATCACATTATTACCCACTCTGCCGTTAAGACCATTAAGTCGAATGCAAATTTTGGTCAAGGTAGTGTCTCATCGATTCCCTACAAAATATCTGAGCTGGATGTGCAAACATCATTACTTAAAATGTTTACACCATCCTTAGAAGAAGGCTCATATTCTGAAACCTGGGATGTCATGTAAGTTTTCTCCAAATGTAGACAATTGCCAAAAAACCTATTCCAGAATTAAGGATTAATAAATGTCACCTCTGTTATATCACGCATAATGAAAAAAGAGAGGAAAGATCATTTGTTTGCCCACCTACTTGAGGAAGGCTTATTCCACTCCTCGCAATACTGCTTAAGGTTCCTAATAATCTTTAAACCAACAGACTTTATGTTATAACTGTGAAAATAATTTGCTGCGGATTAAGGGATAGCGAATTATTGATCGGACCAAAGACGCACAAACACGTAGAACGACCTAGGGTTCTGATTGGTCTCGCTTCCCTGCCTAACCCAGCCAGTTGAGTCCAGAACACAAGTTTCAGCCTCGGATATATGAATCATTATATTTCAAACATACTTGTTTATATACCATTCAAGCAGTCCACAACGTACCATAAAATAGAAGATAACATTGTACAATAATGGCCAGTAGGAAAATGACACGTTAAATAAATACTGACCAATAAGATGATACTATTTCATGTCCAAGGATAGCACTAGGCTTAACAGGATAATTTTTGGGATATTTTCCTGAATATCCCAACACCTCCCCTTTTTTGTAGATCCGGAGTTGATGTCCGGATTTTAAATGTTTCTCACGTCTATCCTCCCCCTCGAAATAATGTTGGGTCTTCATAAACCCAAATTACAATTAATTTGATTGTATTTAAAACACATTGCACAGGGAATCCAGTAAAATCGACCAGATAATGAGGATAAACACCACTCAATTCGAAATCATCCGAGTTCAAATCTTCTGAGATAGTGTTGTCAAATTTATAAGGAGCATCATTAGTAGATAATGGATGATTATGGTAATCCGCGTCCAACAAAACTGTGCCAGGTTCTTGATTATTAGTTGATGCGTGAAACACATTTTCTGGCAAAACAATGAGATCTTCTCGTGAGCTGGATATGTTACTGTCTGCACATGCTGTTTCGGGGTTGATGGAGTTTGACTCCATTACCGGGCATGTTTCTGGAATAGAAAGTACTGGACCACTGGGGGCATGATGGATGACTGTTCCGTTTGAAGTACAGTTCACCGAGGATTCATGGAGGCTGCTGTCATTTTCCAGCTCACTGTGTATTTCAGATATCAATCCATCCACTTCCGTCGCGTCTTCATAGCATGAGTGATTTAGCAGCTGCGTGCGGAATTTGACTAATAACTCCAAATGTCGTTCAAAGAGCAGCTGTAATCGATCGGAGGGGAGAGTCATTTTTTCGAATCAGCACCTGTGATGAAAATTACTGTGTGACTAATGACCAATGTGGTTCAAGGACACTGATGACAATCTAGATACTGATTGGTTGAATAATTAGACAGGATTTCGTCCAATTACAGAATGACTTTGGATTGTATCTTTTCTTCACCCCGTCGCCAATTGTTATAACTGTGAAGATAATTTGCTGCGGATTAAGGGATAGCGAATTATTGATCGGACCAAAGACGCACAAACACGTAGAACGACCTAGGGTTCTGATTGGTCTCGCTTCCCTGCCTAACCCAGCCAGTTGAGTCCAGAACACAAGTTTCAGCCTCGGATATATGAATCATTATATTTCAAACATACTTGTTTATATACCATTCAAGCAGTCCACAACGTACCATAAAATAGAAGATAACATTGTACAGTAATGGCCAGTAGGAAAATGACACGTTAAATAAATACTGACCAATAAGATGATACTATTTCATGTCCAAGGATAGCACTAGGCTTAACAGGATAATTTTTGGGATATTTTCCTGAATATCCCAACACTTTAGTAAGTCGTAATTACTAGTCTTATATTGCAATGGATTAAATCTCTCGCAAACAAACCGAATTATTAAATTAACTACGGTATCCGCACCTCGACCAATAATCAGTAGTAATGCTTAGGGTAATGCTTTGAGTCCACTGCTTTTTCTAGTCTAAATCAATAACATATGCACCTACTTCAACTCCGGAAAGACCTACCTTTATGTTGATGACTTAAAACTCATCTGCGAAACCAACATCTGACGCATGCCAAGCGTTGCACGAACATTCGAGCATGAACTGAACAGAGTAGATAACTGGTGTAGACGCTATAGCTATGTGTTGGAAACGAGACTGAAAGTTAACAAGTATGTACTGCCCGAACTCACTTCAGTACCTGACCTTGGAGTGTATTACCCACGCAGTCTAAACCTCTCTAAACCCAACGCCACTAAAGCATCGAAGTTGCGAAGATTTCTAGACTTTATAATTTTTTACTTTTTTGAAAGGAATTTGGAATCATTCTTTAAAAGTTATGTGTAAGACCTATCGTTGAATACACTTTGTTCTTATTTTCCGACTTACGCTTATACCATGTACTGGAGGTGGAAGGGATACAATGAGATTTCACACTCAGAATGCTTAAAACTGATCCACTCATTGACTACCGTTGCTAATACCATATCCTGGGGCTTGAACCCTTTTGGAAGAAGGGATTATGTTCACTATGGTTCTCTTTCTCGAGCCCAGAAATCTTACTTACTACACTCGAAATATAGTGCTTGCCGAAGGCTCAGATATATACGATATCTGAGATGAAACGTCCACGGTCAAAGTCGAAAAATACTGGAGAAAATCTCAAGAAAACTTCGTCATGAAGTATGCAATAATATGAAAAAGTCTTCCCTTCGAAATACGCATGACATATGGATGATAAAAATTTCACAATATTTGTTGTTGAAACTCCCACTTTCACATGCAGGCGCGAACAAATTTGCAATTTGCCTAGATATCACAGACTCTCTACACGTCCAAATTACATCACAACATTAGTTTCATTTCTCTATTTTTTCTTCTTTGAAGTTATGTTAGTTACTTCTCCGTGGCTACATGTCCCTCTTTAATCTACGATCAAACTAGACAGATAATCCACTCAACCTATCAATTCCACTCAACAATATTCAACCACAAGGCACGCTCGCTACTATCCTAAAGATTTACCAACTAAATATTACGATTTCCTGCCAAACTACCAACGGTCTACTTTCAAGTGGATATTCTACAATAACCATAAATTCAATAAATATTTGCGTCACACAAATGCTTAGTGACAACATAAATCCACGCGAATGATCACTTTTCGACTAGGTGTGTTCGTTAAGGTCGCAGTATTTACGTGATGCCGTTTTTGAACAGGTCATAAACTAACAGTGCACTACCATAAACCCATTTTTATATCCACGCGAATATTCTATCACTACTCCCATTTGTTTACTCAGCATCATAACCCATTCTCGAACCCATGTTGTAAATTATTGAACATATCTTTTGGATTGACTTGTACCTGATGTGTCAGAAAAATATTATTTATATATTCATGTACATCTCCTCCCTAGATTATTACCTACACGGCCCCTTAGTCCATGGAGTAATATTGATGTGTAGGCGAGGAAAATAATAAATAGTTGTTGACACGGAAATATACTCACGTTCTGGTCAGGCCGGTCATGTGTTTTCGATCCCAGTCGTGTCGAAGTTCTGCTAAATAAAAATTGGGAGGGTATTTGGTGTAGATATTTGTCCGCGGCTAATTAGTGTTCCATTGATATGAGGAATAGAATCGAGCGTTATTTTATATGTGCACATTAACTATGCTGCCCATAGTTATTACACTAAAACTACAAGGGATACTGATGTAGGTCATAATACAGGGGTAACAATTCCGTAGTAAAATGCCGCTGATATACGGACCCAAATGTGGCGAAATTTAAAGAAACTTAGTTAAGAGTAACGTTATGGTAGAAGTCTTGTTAACATCTCAGAGACTATTGGTTGAACGGTTCTCTTAAACCTGACTTCGATGTGGTAAAAGTTGTGCCGAAGGGGATACCACTCAAACATAACGAACAAACACCCGATAACCGGTCATCATTGTTTCACGGAGTACCAAACTGGAGAGGGATGGTCCTGACGAAGTCAGCGAACAAGCTATGCAACAGTGGATTTGGATATCAAGTTACTCAGGCCTTCATACTACGATGACAAATAACGTTTTCGAGCTATCCCATTCGTTATACTTCACGACCGTCAAGTCTTCGTGTCTGATAGCTGTGAACAACTACAAGTGCTTGAAATATAATATCTGATCTTGAGTCTGGCCACAGGTTTATGTACTCAAGTTCAGGGTAGAAAGAGAAGTTAAAGGGATGTGGACCAATAAAGACAGAGCTGTTAACACAGGGTTACTAGTGCTGATTGGACGTTTAATTAGTCAACTCGGAGATACTAAGTCATATCAATCGTGATTCTGACTAGTGGTGCTTTCACGTAACATTAGTCATCAGTTATTTCGTAATATCCAGCTAGGGATTTCAGCACTGCATCCCTTAATCTCAACAAGCGAAACACAACCTCCACAGGGCGATTTCACAATAGACTTGTTCAGCCATATGAAGTTCGGGACCGACAGAAAATGTGGGTGACATCGCAGGATGGGGCAAAGATGAATATCACTCAAAATTAGACCATTCGCTAAGAAATGACCAGCTTCTAGTCGAAGACGTTCATGTCTCAGAATCAGTAGAGAGAAGTTACCCATGAACACGTAAACACTGGTGGATCATCATCTCTTGTTTGGGCTAGCTGTGCCTCATGCATGTCTAATAACTTACCTACTATTGCCACTACCACATACCACTAGTTTGAACCTGTCACGCCTATGGTCATCTCCGATGCCCCTTTTACTCTTACACTTCAGTCTCACACTGCCTGAAGTTCTAATCAATCAACTAATAATATATTTACTTAGTTCTTGTATTCATCTTCTAGTATCCGAATTTTCGCCCATCTATTTTTCATATTGCAACCAACCAATCTTTTGCCTGGTAATGTGATACCCACTGTTTCCATAAACTCTGATGCTTTGCAACCGATGTGATCACTCAGACTGAAGGATATGCAGGCCTACAATTAACTACCAAACTGAGCAGCAGTAGTATAGTCGAGAGGTTAGACTACCGTCCATGGATTACCGACTACCCGGAGCTGTGCCGAAAAAGCAAGAAGCTGATGCAAATTGATGGAACAGTTTACACAAGGTTGTCATACTGGAGAAATCGGATAGCAAATAAACGAAATATGAAATTAGATCAATATATGTGTTTGTATGCTTTAGATTCTGAATTATTCCTACTGAAGCGGTTTTCCGAAAATTATGGTTAGTGATGGATGTTCTAAGAAAGCGACTGAATGAATTTAGAGAAGAAGAAGACGATTTGAGAAATAAAGTTTCAGACATTGAAAATCAAATTAAGTGTGTGGTCGATGCAACTCACAAGGTACGTAGTTCTTTTTGTCCATAACGTGTTTTTAGGTTAATTCAGAACAGTATGAACTTGCTACTAAAGAAATGTTACTTAAGCAGAAGTGTCAAATGCAAAATGACAGACTAAAGGATGCTCTTAACAGGCTCTCTGATCACAGAGATAGTCACGATCATCATTCTAGGTAAACTCAGTACTGCGTTTTTGAAAATTTTTAGGAAATTGGAAAACTTGAATAACAAGAATTATAGCCAGGACTCAAGAATAGATGAATTGGAGGCAGAGCTGATGCGATTGCGGAACGAGTGCCTAGAAGTCCAGACTCGTGTTGACGAGGTCTGTCTACTTCTCTCTTGTTGTATTTGTAGACTGTAATTCATCTGAAACATGTAGAATTCGCCAAAGAAAATGCTGAAAAACGAGCCAATGCAACCGAGTCGTATGATTATAATTTGGTTACATTGTATTCTTAAAGGAAAGTTCAAGACCTCGAATCGCAAAGTACATCCACATTAGAGGCTTTGAGACGTGCTGAGCTAAATGATATACAGGTAAGTAATGTTACACAAAAGTATGTTAGCTAGTTTTAGAAAACCTTAACTTAAGCACTGCCAGCTACTGATGTTTCGTCGCTAGCCGTTTGGTTTTTCAGTTGAGTTGGTCTTTAAGTTCACCAGAATTGAATTTGTTAGTGGATAAAGGAGCGTATAATGACTCAGGGTCTTAGGATTTTCGATATGCATGTCTGGGGAAGTGTAAGGACCTATGTTATGTTTCGGTTTTATTTGAATAGACGTTTTTCCTTGCCTGGATGCTTCAAATTTGTGTCTGACGAGAAGGGAAAGTTTAGCAAACAAATCATCATCAAAAGATCTGTGGGGATTTGTTAATATATAATGTTTTCGAGATTTCGTCACCGCGACATATGTACTCATGATATAAGGCTGTTCACCATCCATGTCTGGCTTTTTTATGCTTAGTTTGCAAACTAGTGTTTACAAGTTAAATATTTTGTATCAAACCACGCGTCGAACATGGTAACCGTGTAGATTGTAATGCGTTTTCATGGAGTTGGTAGTTTGAAGAACTATTTCTAACTGGATGAGGCTCTGCACTCATGAAGTTTTCGGCTTTCAAGGGCATTCTATCTTCCATTTCTTAAGTGTCTCCAGAGGCACTCCACAGATATGCCCTATATAGTGCGTTTATTAAACTAAACGTGCCTTAGTAAGATTGCCCAAGAGAGAGAGAGAGCACCATATATATGCGCCACACAAAACAATGAGAATTCGAAGAGAAATAGAAAAAAAGCTAAGGAGCGCAAATAAAGAGAACAATAACGAAGAGATTGGTGTAAGGTAGTGTGGTAGTATTGAGGGAACGGAAAGGTGCAATCAGAAGAAATCTTTCAAGTAAGGGAGACACAACCACTTTTTATGAAGAAAGTAAAAGAAGGTTACAGCAGGATCGCCACTGGCTTCTATTCTGAGCCATATCTGATAACGTCTCTAGCCACTGTGTAGCACCATCTCTCAGACCCCAACCAGGGAGTCGTGAACGACCAACAGAAGCCAGTCCGTTGCAGCTTTCTTTCATGCCACGACACCATGTCATATACTGACCACCTCTCCGCTTCTTCCAACCAGTCCCAGAGTCGGCAAATAATGCACGACGTGGAATTCTCTGGGACGACATTCGGAGAACATGTCCAAGCCACCGAAATCGGTGTTTCAAGATGGTGACACCAATTGCATTATCGCGTCTGTGTCCGAACACACGATGCCGAACCTCTGCATTACTAACATGGTGTTGCCACTGGATGTCAGCAATCCTTCGGAGACAGTGATGATCGAACACAGAGAGTCGTCTAACGTCCTCAACTCTGAGTGATCAGGTTTCACAAGCATGGAGCAAAACTGGTCTCACCGACGCGTTGTAGATCCGACCTTTTACGGCCAGACTAACATCACGAAGGCGCCAAAGGTGGCCCAGATTGGCATAAGCCGCTCTGGCTTTCACTATACGTGCATTGATCTCATCACTCACGCCACCACCAGCACTTATGCAGCTACCCAGATACACGAACTTCTCGACTATTTCTATCTGCTCATCATCCAGGGTGAGTACAGGATTAGAATCCTGCCAGTCTTGTAGAAGTACTTTGCACTTCGAAGGTGCAAAGCACATACCATACCTACGGACACTGATTGCCAACTGATTAAGTGCGAATTGCATATCTTGGGCATTATCGCACAGTAAGACAATATCGTCCGCATACTCAAGGTCGAGAAGTCTTTCTCCAGGCAACAGATCCACACCACTATTACTTACATTCATCAGAGCTGTTTCCAGAATGTCATCGATGGCAAAGTTGAAGAGGAATATTGAGATTGGGCAACCCTGCCTAACCCCACTGCTCGAATGGAACAATGGAGAGAGGTGGTTGTATGCCCTCACTCTGCCTGAGGTGTTTTTATACAGGGCTTTTAGGATGTTAATAAACTTCTCAGACACACTCTTCTTCAATAGACAATCTCAGAGAACAGTCCTATCCAACGAATCGAAGGCAGCCCTGATGTCAAGAAACACTACGATTGTTGGCCTTTGAAAAGTATGGCGGTGTTCTAACATTTGGCGGAAGGTGAAGATATGATCAATACATCCTCGACCAGAACGAAACCCAGCCTGCTCCTCGCGAGTCAATCTTTCTCGGGTTTTGAACAACCTACAAAGTATGACGGAAGCCAATAGCTTGGACACAATCGGAAGTAGACTTATCCCCCGATAGTTGTTACGGGGACGACGTGAACCCTTTTTAAAGATAGGGACAACTATCGACTCATTCCATGACGTTGGTACACTCTCTAGTTCCCAAACCCTTGTAAACAACGTCGTCAATTCCTTAGTCAAAAAGTCACCACCATCTTTGAAAAGAGCCGGAGGTAAGTCATCTGGGCCAGGTGATTTGTAACGTTTCAAGAGTTGGAGTTCCTTGCAGACTTCCGCCTCATTTGGTGGATCAGTCGTCACCGGCCATGGAGGGCAGGACAGTCTGACTGATGTTGCCGGAGCAGCAGGCCAGTTGAACTGCCCTTCGAAAAATTCTGCCCATCGTCCAAGATGTCGATGGATGTTAGTGATTGGCATCTCATCATCCTCGCAGATTGTTTCACTCACACCAGACTTCTTGCTGCCAGTGGCTCGGATGAGTTGGAAGAGCTTCCGGTAGTTACCAGATGCAGCTGCTGCTTCCAGCTCATTAGCACGCTTCGACCACCAGGCTTCTCGGTCCTTACGCAAGCTTTGCCATATTTCCTTACGTCACATCCTTCGTTTGTGGTCAAACTCACGGTCACCCGGAGTAGACCGACGGGCTTTAATGAGTTGTAAGGAACCAGAAGAAACCCAGTGCTTATAAGCGGGACGTTTCGCGAAGCCACAACTGACTGTAGCCGCCATTTTCATGGCGTCATGCAATTGCAACCAACGCTCATCTATACTTTTCGGTGGAGTGGTAGCTAACCTAGAAGCTAGTTCGGTTCGATACTTACTAGCAACAGAAGTTGCAACCAGCTTGCTGACATCAATCCGTTGATGGCGGTCACTTCGTTGTCCACTGAAAGGTAAGGTCAGAGTCCAGATAGGTACTCCAGAAGGAGTGGCAGCCTTGTACATAACCACGCCAGTGGTAGCTGATCGCAATGTGATCAATCTGAGTCCAGGCTTGAGATGCAGAGGGAGGACGCCAGGTGGCACATCGGTGATAACTGTGCCGAAAGCTAGTGCTAGCCAGAAACAGGTTGTGGTCTGTGCACAGTTGCAGTAGACGGTCCCCGTTATCTGACCTGCGACCAACGAGTCCCCATCGGCCCCCTAAACGACCCTCTTCTGTGCCTAGATGCCCGACCTGAGCATTCAAGTTTCCGGCTAGTACTACAATATCTGTCGAACGCACTTTCTGGAGAAGAACAGATAACTGGTGGTAAAACTCATCCTTGATTGCATCCGGGCTGCAATCTGTCGGGGCATAGGCGGAGATGACGAAGAGACATCGTTCCTCACGCCGATTTCTTCTCACTTTGATGGAACTCTCTAATCTAACAGCACATAACCGACTGTTAATGGGGACCAATCGACTAGTGCTGCCTCAGCTCTAGCGCTTAGTGCGACACCAACGCCAGCAACACGAGACGAAGATGCCACAGGATCTCTGGATAAGCGCACGTAAAACAAACTTTTTGAAGCGACAGATGGAGATCGAATTTGTAGTACCTCGCCAGAGTCTTGAATACGGGTCTCGGATAGACAGCAGACATCGATATGAAGACTTTCCGAAGACATAGCCAGCCCTATCTGTTGTCCGACCTGCATAAGTGTGCGAATGTTGAAGGCAGCCAGTTTGAACGGCGCACGTGGTTTCAGAAAAACTGCTTCAGTACTCATATTCGGTGGTAACATACAATTTTCAACCGGACAGTGACTCGAGAACGTTTAGATACAGTCGAATTTTCACCAAAGACGAGCCGCTGTATAAGTATAAAAGAGGGTGAATAATGTGGAAAATAATAATAATAATAATAATAATAATGACAATAATAGTAATGATAATAATTTGAATCAATTGATTGTTTTTCGAAGCGAGAAAGGTAGTTTTCATAGACAGAGAATTCATCATTTGTGTGTGGGCTGTGATACTGCCCGGGTGCCCAAACCGAAGCAGGTGGTTATCTTAGGGGGCCACTCCCCGAGCCTTTGACCTAAAGGTCTAACCCACAAGGCAGTGGAGCATCGTAAGGAGATGCAGTCCCATGGTAGCCGGTGACCAACGATTGGTTCATACGCCATTTGTTCCCGCAGGATACTGGAGCCCATGTGCACCATTGATTGTCCAAGAGTTATACACCAAGCTACTTAGTACAATTTTAATTCATGGAATTTACGAGTTGATGCCAAACATCCTGGCATCTGAAAATATGGTCAAATAATAGTGCTATTATGGAGTAGTAGTTGTGTTTAGGGCTGAGAACCATGAATAATTTGAGTGCTTGGTACCATTGTCAAGAGACTTTCATTTTGTGAGTCATTGTCCTTTACATAAATGATGGGCTCTTAGTATTTTGTTATAGGGTTTATTTTGTATATTTACTTTTGAATGACATGTTGACTTGATAGCTTGATGAATCAGACTGACTCTATCTAAGAAAGCATTAAAGGCTGTGTTCAGAAACTTAAACTCAGTGATTGGTATCCATATTCAGAACTTTTAAGTCGTCCCTACTAACATTCTTAGATAAATGTACTTCTCTACTGCTAAGAAAATTTATTAAGGTGTACGTTTTATCATGCATCACACATGCGATAAGTACAATCAAAATGGTTGCCTGCTCTGGTACTTATCTGATAATAGCGAAATGATTTACAGCTGTGTAAATGCTTTACGCTGATTCGACTGGTCTTTAAAGTATTCTGCGCATGTACGTATAAATCATTAGTGGTGAAAATTCGTTTAGGCGTGCAATCATTCAAAACTTTGTAGTCTAACAGCGATTTGATTTTCATTTGGGATTAATCAGACTTAATAGTCTAATAATTAGTCCCGAAATTCACATTATCTTACTCTTTTCCTTTGTTTTTTTCTTCACAGTATCTATCAACAGATGATTGGGAAATGAAGGAAAAAAGCTTACGGGAACAGTTGCAGAGGGTGAGATACTGGGTATTCCTTATTAATATTGGGTGTGTTTTGCTTTTAAAATTTCCTCATTAAAGCACTTCAGTGTTCTGGTCAAGCATACGCTTCACACAGTTGTGCTAACTGACTTAGAATATAAGAGTGATTCCTACAATCATTTTATTGTCAACTGCTTGATGAATCAAAACATTTTGTGAATATAAAAAATGTTGTTAAAAGTTTTTAAAAAAAATGACAATCAACATTATAAAAAAACAGTAAATTTTGAGGTGGCTTTTCATTACTGTGTGGCAGTTCGTTCTGTTTTACTTTACGGCTGCGAAACGTTGCCATTAAGAGTTGAAGATATTCGTAAGCTATGTTGGTAGATGCAGGTGTTACTTGGTTGGGGTCCGTGTGACTATCGTAACGAATGGTTGGAGACTTTGTGTGAGATGGCTCAGAATCGGTCACAGTGGCGTAGGTGTATACACTCTCTGTGCATGAGATTAAAATGGCTTCATATCTTTATTTCTACAAACTAATTCTTCCTGTACTATATCCTTATATGCAATCTTTCTTTTATATATTACCACCACTACTTTTATGAATCCGGTGTTCTTGTTGTGCTAATGAGTTATGGCGACTTAAACCGGTTCATAGATGTGTCTGGTCCTACGTTGTAGCTGACTGACGATAATTTAATTAATATTCATAGTTATCACGGTAGTTGGGGTCTGAGAGATGGTGCTACACAGTGGCTAGAGACGTTATCAGATATGGCTCAGAATAGAAGCCAGTGGCGATCCTGCTGTAACCTTCTTTTACTTTCTTCATAAAAAGTGGTTGTGTCTCCCTTACCTGAAAGATTTCTTCTGATTGTACCTTTGCGTTCCCTGATTACTAGCACATTACCTTACACCAATCTCTTCGTTATTGTTCTCTCTTTTTTTTGTTGCGCTCCTTAGCTTTTTTTTTCTTTCTTTGTATTCCTCTCGAATTTTCATTGTGTTTTGTGTGGCGCATATATATTGGCGCTCTCTTGTACCAATATTCATGTGTCCAAATGAAATAAAATAATCACGGTAGTTCAGTTAATAAGCTCATCAATGAGACTTCTTTTTTATTAATTGTTGGATCCACGACTATTTCAGGTTAAGATTTTTGCCAATTAATTAAATTGATTCAAATAAATATTGCTTTTATCCCCGAAAATCTTTTGTCGTGTAGCGGAATCCCAAATTAAAGTCGCGAAAGATCTTTTATATGAACTTAAAATGAAGCTTCTAATTTCATTAAAGGTTTTAACTTAAATATGTTGAGTTTATTGCCTTTTTTCATTCATCAATTTGTGGAAAATTATCTTTACTCATCCAGTATAGTGTTCACATTCCAACTCCCCTAGCTGGATCCTCCGTACTCACCAACCCAGTTAAAGCGCCGAACATTTACTTTTCTTCTGTCAATTTCGTAAACAACACCCCAGCTGCGGGAAAGCAGTGAGTAGGATTTCCCTGGGAATGGTTGTATAAGCGTGGTCATGTGATAGCATTTGGAGAGGGAAAGCTGAATCTCCCCACCCTCTGTCGTACCATTTGCTATATATTGATATAATTTTTTACTTAAAAATGCATTATTTTATAACTTTTGCATTTGAAATTGGGGTATGTCACGACGAAGATCAACTCTAAATAGTTGTATGTGTGTGAGGGTATTTGTGTGCAAACATGTATGGGATGTTTATATTTACGGGTATCATGTAGAAGTTGATGTTTTCTTGCACATAGATTTTCACATTCGGAGCTTGTACAAAATAGGGTCCTACATCCAAAAAGACGTACGGTTATCTCTTATTTTATTTATTTTATTTGAACACATATATATTGGTACAGGAGTGCGCCAAATATATATGCGCCACACAATTTCAGTTCATTAATTGCGTGTGGGCTGCGACACTGCCTGGGTGCCCAGACCGAAGCAGGTGGTTATCTTAGGGGGCCACTCCCTGAGCCTTTGACCTAAAGGTCTAACCCACAAGGCAGTGGAGCATCGTAAGGAGATGCAGTCCCATGGTAGCCGGTAACCGAAAATTGGTTCATACGCCATTTGTTCCCGCAGGATACTGGTGCCCATGTGCACCATAGATTTGGAATCCGGTTAAAGCGCCGGACATTCTCTTTTCGTCCTCTCATTTTCGTAAACAACACCCCCGTCACGAGAAGGCAGTGAGTAGGACTTTCCTGGCAGAGGCTGTTTACGCGCGGCTGTGTGAGAGTATTTCGAGAGGGAGGGCGAACCCATCCCGCTCTCGGCCATACCAGGGCGTTTGGGGGCACGGTTACCTCTACCTTCTACTTGTTTATCACTGTTTATTTAAGAGAGTTCGAGTGTTTTACATATATGTATATTAATAATATTAACGATAAGAAAGTATTCTTCAATTCAGGCTATCAATTATAGTGACTGCTTTTCGATAGTTTCTCTGCTATCAACCGTACTAACCGCGAAAAAGAAAAAACCCGCTTTAACACTGATCTTAAGATTGTAGAGTTTATTTTCGAATAACAGATTCTGAATTTTTATCTTTACCCAGATAAAGCGTATACGTTGTGCCATCATATTCTTTGTTACTCAGAGACGAATTACTGCGAACATTTTAGTTCTATAGGCGTCAAGTTGCGCCAGCAGTAAATCAGTTGGTGGTTAATGTCTCTCACCATAATAGATGTTTCTTTGAAGAGTGTAATCACACTTCACATTTATTTATTTATTTGAACACAAAATAACACTTCACAAGCATGAAACTTATCTACTGTCTCCAAATATAAGTTGGAGGTTCAAATTCTACATCAATAATTCTGACTTTGGAAGTCGATTAGTGTCAGAAGCTCTCACAATTACTTAAAAATGTTTACTTTCAAATGAGCACTGTTAGTGGGATATAGATTGTATTAAAGTATGTTCCGTGCAGGATTGTGTTTGGGCACGCTGATTGTCTATTTCTTGACCAATCAGTGCTAGAAGATGCTTGGTGGAGACCGTAGAATCTTATGTAAAAATTATATACTAACGTTTTTCTTATTGTAATTCCTACTTCCACCCACCCTAGTTATTTGGAATATAATTACGTTCCTGTTCAACCGTGTTCTGATTTGGGGACTTGTCGAGTAAATTAGTGTCCAAGATCACTAAGCAATAATAGCTGGGTCGTAATAAGAGAAATCATAACAAGCACCTTTTGGGAGCCATGACTTAAATCAAGTCAAACTATTTCACACTAACACTCCTTGATGCACAAACACTTCATTAATCAACCTAATATTGTCGTTTATTTTTATGGATAACACAAATTTATCCAATGCAAAAATAATTATTTTCATATAAAATACGTACTATTTTTGTAAGCTATAATGTTTATCTAATTGTTAAATACTAGTATATTTCCTATATAGTAATGGGTACCTGTTCTTTTCATGACATCAGTATATCTGGGTCATGATATTCCTATATTTCGAAATGACATAAATGTTGAACTCATCAAAGAGTTTGCAATGTTATATCATGTTCAGTTTTTTATTTTAAAATCAAATAACTTAATAGCTATGTTCTGACAGCATAAAACGGTTCAATTTTCAGTATATGTCAACATTTAAATTATATATATATATATAAAGATCATGTTATACTGATCAGTAGAGTTAGATCGATCTTAATTTTTGCTGCTGATGTTGTGGCTTTTTAAAAATCTAAGCATTTTATGGATTTACATCTTTCCATTAGTCCTTGGTACAGTATTTTAGGGTTTCTGTGATTAGTCATCAAATTTTTATGGGCTCGAACTGTTTTATATGTACCTTAATCTAAGTATCATGGATAGTGTTTCCTACTCGGGATAACTTGACTCGTATTTAGTTAAGCAGAAAACTGTCATCAAGTAAATTGAAATTTGGTTTTTCTTATTAACGGTATACTTTTTATCTTTTCCACCTAAAAATATGAATTTTTTCCTATAAACCAGTGATAGTATATTTGAATTTTAATGTTTAATTTGTTACAGTCAGGGCCTAAAATTTGAATTTTCTATATTCTTATCATCAGTTTAAATTATATCATTAGTCTTCAGTGTATTTATCTGTTGGGTTATGAGTAATTTGACTGTAAAAGTGTCACCTCACCACATCCTACTGGTTTCCTTCCCCGATAGTAAAGCCTAAAGAAACCTGGAAGTACCATATTAAGTAATTCTTATAGAATAGTTATGTGTGACCGGCCTTAAGTGGTTGTCTCTTGGCCCGCGCTCCCAGGACTTCAAGATCACCTCTTACCCAGTCTCCCGCTCAAGTCCCTCAGGAAGAAATACCATTCCTCTGTGTGGACAAACGGAAAATGACAACCACTCTCTTATCTCTAATAACACTAGAGATCATCTTGGTAATAGTGAAATAGATCCCATCGTCACTTAATATTACTTCTATCGCCACTGTCAATACTTCTCCTATGATTTTATGTTTATCTTCAAGTGCCACCTATGCAATTATTTGGGTTCATGAGAAGTTATTTCTGGTCTTTTAAAACCTGATGTTGAAACTACATGCTGAGGCTGTCAGTGTTCGGATCTTATATAAAGTAGGCCAACAGGCTTCCTTATCTAGGACTTTGGGATCTCACACTATGGTTGTATATTTTGTCTCCGAAACACACAAACAGAATCAAAGTGTGGTCATTCACTTGAGTCCACCTAGTCAATGTAGTATGTCTTTACAATTTGCCCTCCGTGTATCCAGAAAGTTGACGACCAACTCCCATCGACTCTCTGATATATGTGTAGCCTCAAGTTCAAAAGCGAAACAGACTTCTTGACTAGATTGTATAGTCATTTGTTTTCTATTTGGTGAATACCTTGACAAAACTCAGGGTCTCTTGACATCCTTAATCAATCATCAGTGCGAGTGTGTTTGTGATGCGTATCACTTCATCGTAACGCAAAATATTGCTTAAGGACTGGTTTCTGCCAACCTCGAGTTTGACGATAG